TTTCTAACAAAAACAAATGAGATTTTTAAATGAAATTTTATTTTTCAAGTACGTTTACTTCATCTGGGAAACTGGATGTGCACTCTTTCTCTAGAAGGGTATTGCAAAGAATAAAAAGAAAATGAATGCACAATTCTCTGGATATGCTTAATAATATTAATGCAAATATTCTACAGAACATAAGTGTTGTATGTTTGCTTTCATAATCATAGTGAGGCCTGACTTTCCTCAGTGAGAGATGTGTGGCACAAAGGAAAGAAATTAGACTAATCATTTCTAGATATTTGTTAAATTGCAGATTTTGTTAAAATGTGAAGGATTTGGGTTATAAAAACACAAGACAAAGACAAGTACATTTAGAACGCCTTAAAAACAAATGTTACCTCTGAAGTCTGAACTACCTAAAATGAACTCTGCCTGTACTCTCCAACTAAATAATTGGCAGTTATTATAAGAATGAGAGCCTTCTGTTTCCATCTAGCCCGAGTAATTAGAAGTCTAATAATAGCATATTTAAAAAAATAAATTATCTCCTATGCATCCTGTACCCTGCATCATATAAAATGGTTTCTATCCACTGTGCAGTATCTTAAGTGAACTTACGGTGAAATTCTGGATTTGAGGATGAATACAGTTCATTTCCAGCTATCTAGTTTAAATGTGACAACACAAAGAAAGTGAAATGTGGAACAACTGCCCTTCATTTTAAATAGCCACATATCAAAGTCAGTAACTTCCCAAAGACAACTCTCTAGTGGTCTTCTTAATTAACAAACCAATTATATTTTAGTTCTTTAAAAGAAGATAGCGTTTTAGACATTTCAGCATGGTAACTGGAACCTTCTCAGGAGTAGAGAAAACCATATTAAAGATAACTGGTCTTCCATCAAAAACATGAAAAACAATCATGAGTTTGATCATCAGGATTATTAGAGTGCTTAGTAAAAGCTTTCGTTTCTGACCAACTGGCTAAGTACCAGAAGTGTCAAATTTTTTTAGAAATGTCTTCTGGGAGCTCAGTGATTAAGCTCTCGGCTCTTGTCAAGAGTCTTTGATCTGCGATGATGACAGCCTTAACCCTGGAAAAATATCTCACACTTACAACCTGGCAAGGATCCTCAGACAGAAAGAGGCTGAATAAAAGTGTTCTGAGAGGAAAGAAAAGACCTTTAGGTGTAACAGAACTGCAGCAAGTGGCCATCAGGAGAGAGATCCCTTTCCACGTACAGGCAGCCAGCGGTGCCCATGACCATCCCCACTTCTAAACGACCTTTGTCCCCTTCATGTGGACCTGGTGCTCTCTCCTACTTTAGTGAATTCTCTTTAAAATACACATTTTTTTAGCATGTGTATGCATATTTAAAATACATATCCAAACATGAATTTTAAGTAAACCCACTCACATCAGGTAACACAGCCCCTCCCATGCTTTGTTAACTGGTATGCTATCACACACCGGTCACCTAACATCAATTAGCAAAAATTTATTGAGATCGAACTGCTTGGGAGACATAAATACAAGGAATAATTGTCCTCTCTGGAGCTTACAGTTTAGTTGGGAGTTCAAGATATAGACAAATAAAATGATAGGCATATACAATAATGGGAAAAATAAAAGTGGAAACTGGTCAGGTGAACATATAAATGCTTAATCCCCCCAAAAAACATTAATAAGCACCTACTATGTGTCCAGAATAGTGTGAAGTGCAATCATTAGGGAAATGAAGGAAGGACAAGATTCTGATCATATTTGATTTATATAACACCCTTATAATTTATACATTTGCAAAGCTCTGTCATAAGATATTTGTATGTTAAAAACAAGGTAACCAGCTCAAATGAGCAATAATAGTACCTGCTATGTGCTCGTGCACCTCACTAGAACTTTGCAGACCTCAAAGCCATAGCCTAGAACCATGGTCAGCAAACCACGGCTCGCGAGCCACATGCAGCTCTTTGGCCCCTTGAGTGTGGCTCTTCCTAAGCCTTAGGAGTACCCTAATTAAGTTAATAACAATGTACCTACCTATATAGTTTAAGTTTAAAAAATTTGGCTCTCAAAAGAAATTTCAATCGTTGTACTGTTGATATTTGGCTCTGTTGACTAATGAGTTTGCCAACCACTGGCCTAGAAGAAAAGAAATTTCAGTCCTGGTATGGGAACATGCATAAGGTCAGCATGGAGGAGGAAGAATTTGACAGGTGGAGAGACACACAAACATTTATAACAGTCC